CTCTGGCTCAATACAAGTATTCAGCATTGTTACCATTCTTCTTTCTTATACATTTGTTCTCTTTACAATTTTAAAAAAGAAATCTGAAAAGAGTGCAAGCAAAGCATTGTCCACCTGTGGGTCCCATTTCTTTTCTGTGACTTTATACTATGTCCCCTCTCTCTTTATGTATGTGCATCCAGCATCATCAGAAGAAAATGATCAGGATATGATCTTCTCTCTATTTTACACTGTCATAATCCCTGTGTTAAACCCATTTATCTACAGCCTGAGAAACAAGCAAGTCATGGATTCACTGAGAAAGGTGCTGAGGAGAAATGCTTAGATCTCATATTAATATCTATTCTTTTTTCATTAAAATAAACCATTGTGGAAGAAATTGTGAATGCTTTCAGTAGTATTGATTGATTTTTTCAGTTATAGTTCTGCAATGTTAACAATTTATGTACTCTATTACCTCCTTAAAACATTTGCACCCTTTGTTCAAGAACACAATTTTTATATATTATGTATTATAACAGAAACAATAAAGGTGAAAATAAGTGACACATTTTATAGCTTGTGTCCTTGCATTATTTATATATTGAGCACTAAAGTGAAGCTCTTTAGAAAGGACTTGGGTGTGATAACTTTATATAGACAGTAGTGCTCTGTAGTTTTGGACTCCTATCATATATATTCTTCTGTGGGGGAAGTTTGTTTTTGAATGAGAAGAAAACCCAGGAATACTGCTAATCATGGAAAAGGTCTTCCATGCCAGTCTTGCAAAGTTGTGGTTTTAAATCTTGGAATTCTTCAACACATTTATCACTCAGAAATATCAATTAAATTTTGAACATAACCATGAAAATGAGAAGGGAGATAAAAAAATGAAGTCAAGGATAAGGGTAAGGATGCATCAGTGCTCTCTGAGTAAAGAGGAGACATGGGTTACCTCTTTCAATTCCTGATGCTTTTAAAATCATTTTTGAGATTATTGATTTTTCCAGGTAATCAAAAAGCCTCAGTAATTCAGAAAACTAATGATAAAAATAAATAATTCAGCATGAGTGGACTTAGGAAAAAAGTGACAGAATTTGAAGGAAATCTTGTTAATATTTTGTAAATGCAAAAAAGAGAAGTCATTAACATTTACACTTTTTTGGAATGTTTTGTTCACAGAAGGGACTCTAAATGCATATCATCAAAGTTGAAGCAGAAGTAACATGGAATAATGTTGTACTATTTAGTTTTTGGCTGGGAAAGAACTCACTGAATGCTGAGTTTCCTTGCTATTCAAATTCTTTAAATATAATGTGTGATCAGTCTGCAGTTATCCTATTGGCATTTATCTTTCAACAGTGAAATTTCATACATTTTTTATGGGGATACAACTAATTCCCTCAACCTAAAAATTACTGTCATGTTTACAAAATTATAGTTACTATATCTTGCATCCTACCTGCACTTTCATCTGCCTGCCTTCCTAAAGTGTGTGATCAGATGATTCTTCTCATATTGTTTTTAGATTAATTTATATTCAACTCTAAGAACTTTATTGGATTGTCATTGCTACTGGGTTATATAGTTTTGTAGGGGGAGGAGTCCATAAACCAGAAAATAGAATAGGGGTCTCCTTAGGGCTTCCAGTGTATCCTGATTGGAAGGAGTTCAGAGCAAACTTTACAGGACAAATTGCAGTGGGAAGTAGGTCAAGGATAGGGTTAGAGAGAA